TTATTCTTGTTTTCCATCCTCTTACCTGATCTACTGAAACTTAGGGACTTAGATCATTTTGCTGTCCTTATACTCATTTCTTGTAAGTTCAACATAGAGCTAAAGCACTGCCTTCCCCGCTTTCCCAGATTGGCTGCGCCTTCACCCGAATCTGCTGCTGCTTTAAAAATAAAACTGCAATTTGGCTCTTGTCTCTGTAGGAATCTGTCTACCCCTCTACTGTGGAAGGTGGCTGCTCAAGGTCACCACCCCATCTCTAACTGGCAGCCTCTGGTGCGGGTCTCTTGGTCCCACTGTTGGAACTTTTGTCTCCTCATGGTAGTGTTCTGAAGCAGAGACGCTGGGAGAGAGCAATGTCCTGAATAGAGTAGATCCTTTGTATACCATATACTACTTCCTTCTGGAACTGAGCACATGTTATGGTTTGGGCCCCCCTATATCTTATGAATGAACCTATCTCGGATGAATTTTGATATGCTATCAGAGGCCCTTTAGAAAACAAGTATCTTAGGATATTTCTATATAGTTTTTTTTTAGAGTGTATGGAGAAAATTAGATGATTTTATTAAAATTTGCTATTATGTTTCATAAAGCAATTAATTTGATAAAATAGGCATATAATGGCCTTTTGGTTATGATGTGGCCCGAGGAATTGTGTAGACTCATAGACTAGCAGATGGTTAGATTTGGAGGATAGATCAAGAAATTTCTAGTCCAACACTCATTTTTGACGTGAAGAAACTGAGTCCTAGAGAGCTGATATTTTGTTCTTGATCATGCATCTCTTCAGCCACACAGAAAAGAGTAGAAATCACGCTTCTGTCTCCTGGTATTACTACTTTCACTTTGTACTCATAAATCTTTGGCATATGCAGTTCAGAAAAACTAACTTAGATTCCTCAGAAACATTTATCTAGCTTTTCTTTAACTTGACATAATTTGATTCAGTGATCAGTTTCTAAAAGACCTGACACCTTGATAACTTAGTGTGTTTCTCCTTGTGTCTTTTTGGCATTGTTAGTCAAATCACATCTCATTCAAAGACATATTAGAGTCCTAAGTGAACCTTTAATTTGATTTGCAGCCATCTAGGATAGTGTGCTTCTTTGATAAATATAATCAAGTAGATTTTCAAGCATGACTTGAAATATGTCTTGGTTTTAAATTGTGCTGTGACTTCTCATTCAGGTGGTGTCACTTCACAAATCAATTATATGCAAATGGCTGTTTAAACATGTCTTATTGGAGGTGAGAGGGAGCATGTTGGTGTGATATGACTCTTACTTCCTTTCTTCCATCCATTTTATTCACAATTTCCACATTCTTATTTTAATGATTGTGAATTTAATTTTTAGGGATTTTTCTTACCAATTAGTGTTAATAAGCTAGTTTTCAGGTCTAAGTCATTTAATTTAATGGTCATCCATGTAGATTATGAGAAAGAATCTTTGGGGGACATTTCCTCTTGATTTTGTGATATAAAATAATTCAACTAACTAAAATACACAGAGCAACACTAATTATAGGTGTAAAAGACTCTAATTATAGGTGTAAAAGAACTTTGGTAACCGTATAGGAGTGGTAAATTAGAACAATGAGACTGCATAAGATTATAGAAAATGTTCCATGTATGTATACATTATTTTTTAGCGTAACAGGTGATATTGTGGACAGAATGATCTTCTCTTTTACGGTGCTGGTAGAAAAATAATTATTCAAATAGGACAAATAAAACTACAGTACTACCTGTGAGTAAAGGTCAACAAAATGATTTTGTGCTAACCTTTGACACCCTGTTTCTTCAGAAACCTGATAAAAATAGAATATCAGTTCTGCTACCAGATAGCATTGGTTATGGTAAAAAATGACTCCTACACTAGAAGAATTATGATAGATTATTAATGAGATATATGTCCTGTTGAAAGTACAAGTAGACTGAATGTAGGGAACCCCATGCCATGATCACCAAATGTTTTATTTTTGGGTTGTTAAAAGAAATGCAGATCCGGTGTAGTTTGTGTCTTCTAAGCCAGGGTCACCGGGGCAACCGCCCTGTGGGCTCACTGTCTTACAGTAGAGCTGAGCCTGGAGCTGAGCCTGATGAGGCCAGGTCTGAGGGTGCCCTGCTGACATGTTGCATAGCTCCTCCTCTGTGTGTTTCTGCAAAGGTCACCTGACACCAGGTGTGACCGATTGGACCCTGTGAAGGTCCAGTTGAATGCAAGATCATTTTTGGTGGTTGAGCAAAGTGGGTCAGGTCCACTTTACACTGAAATTGATTCTATGTGGATTAAATTCCCAACTACTAATAGCAAAGTTTAAACACTTTAAGAGTTGATACTCTTTTCTAAAAAAGTAATGTTTCATATATTATTTCAAATGACAATTAGCTAATTAATTAGAATTTAATATATTCTGAGATGATTAAATTATTTCTAAATGTAATTTAATCTCGCATTTCAGTTAATGTGTACCTATTTTAGGTAAAGACTTAAGTTACCTGTTTTGACTTGTTCAGAAAAAATAAATATGATAGGAGTGCTGTTAATATCATTCCCAAATCATGGTTTTGTTTTGAAATTGATTAAACCTTGTTCTGGAATGATAGCCCACAAAAGGTATTCCAGATCTAGGAAGGTTCATGGAATTAAACAGAACACATACACACAGCAAGAGGGGAAAAGCGTAATAAGTTTTTATGAAATTAAAGTTATTGAAAGACATTTCAAAAACAGTTGAAAAGACAGGACTTGGATTGTGGCTGGGAATATTGCATGTGGGAGAGAGCAGCGTGAGGTGAAGAGGGAAAATTAGCTACAGGCCTGGCTGCGGAGGTCCTACAGGATTTTTGGCCTGCTCTTCCTTTCGCTCATAGTATTTCTTTGCCTCTTTGCTTAGCCTTTTCTTTTACCTTCTAGGTATGTGGAATTTATGTATCACCTTTTTCTGTTACTTTATTAAAACACCAGGCCCTCCCTGGTGGCGCAGTGGGTTAAAGCACTGCACTAAGAAGCTTAAGCCACTTCCACTTCCGCATGAGTTTGATTCCCGCCTGCCCCGGAGGAGACCACATTGTGTGGCAGACCTCTCCTGACCCGCCCACTGCTCCCCTCAGCAGTGTACTTCGTCGATCTGCCTGTTCTGCTCCCCACTCTGTCTCTGGTGAATCCTCTCACCCTCCGCATCTCTGGCCTGTACCCCAGTTCTGTATGAATAAATAAATCAATCTTTAAAAAAAAAAACACCAGTTGTGATTTTTATTTGCTTGCTGGTGTATTCTCTCTCTTGTGATTAGAATTTCTGTTTTGCACAAGAGCAGAATAGAAGCCTTTCTTGTTCATTGTTTTATCTGTAGCACTTAAACAATACCTGCACATACTAGGCCCCAAGAAAAGAAATGTCAAATGAATGAGTGGATTAATTGAAGCACAATTGAGGACTAAATATTGATTACTGACTCTTTTATTTCAGTGTGAGTTTTTCCCCTTGAATATATTCAACTTTGTTTACCTGTGAGCCAGGTGCCTTACAGGAAGCTGCAAATGCAACAAAGTCATCTCTCCCTCAAGCATTACAAAATCCCATTGGCAGAGACATACTTAGAATTATTGGGTTAAATTAATAGTGATAAATATGGTGCTAGGAATCTTATATTCATTGTAAATTAAATGTGATAAGCAGCCACTCCAAAATTTGGGTTGTGTTAATATTTTAAGAAAAAGGAAGCTTACTTTTATCAATTTTTAGAAAATAATATGAGTGATTTCATACAAATCACTTGTATGTACATCTTACTGTATACTCTGTACTACTGACAGATTGGGAATTTGTTAATAGGGAAATGCACATTGGAAGTGATTTCTAAGAATAATAGCAACACTGTTGTGGTTTTAACTCTCTTATTGAAGACCTTATTCTTCTTAAGAAGCCATAGAGATCATATTTCTCTCAAACTATCCTAAAATCACAGCCATAATTTTGTTTCCTTACATTTCTAGGTTTTTGAAGATAATATTAACTCGGAGGATGTAGATTACTATCTTCAGAAATTCCAACATAGTAAATATGAGAGACTTTATAAAGATGACACAGGAAGGTATAACTGATCTGTTTATTTAGTGAGTTTTCTGCTTATTCATAATTACAGCTAGTCCTCTGAGTGGAGACAGTGAGTAATGACCCTCAAATTTTTAATCATTTTAAGCTATAGCTCATTATAGTAAGTATGACTGCATTTGGCTTGACATAGTGTATATTTGTGATCTCATAACTGGTTTTAACACAAGAAAAAGGTTGTTCTAAAGAATTCAGTTAGTCTATTGTCTCAGCAGCTTTACAGTTCCAAACTTTATGTATGTGTTTGCAGCTCTTAGAAGGGAGCAGGTTGCGCTAAGGTAACACTGAGTTGGGGGGCAGGTGTAATGAAATTTAAATTTCAGGAAGAATTTCCTTTATATTGGATCTTAGACCCAGAAATTAAGTTAAAACACATTTGTTAAGTGAGGGTGCACGTTGCCATAAGTGGCAGCCTTTAGCTTAAGTAAGTCAGTTGATTAGAGAGAAATTCAAAAGGAAACAGAAAGTAATGTGGGTAATAACTGAAAAATCCCAAGAGAGAACTGTAGCTACATCGGATATAAAGTTTATTTATTTATTTATTTATTTATTAAGATGAGGGACAACAGAGTATTCTCACATCTGGAAGAACTTGTATATAGGGAGAGATTAATAATATATGAAGAAAAACCCAGGGGAAAGGAGGAAGGCAGGTGAATATGTGATCCAAACAACTTGTTTGCAAGCCACGTAAACATGGGCGAAATGGGAGTTTGTGATCAGAGACTGGGACTTTCAAATGTTCTATTTGGAAGGGGGCCAATTCTCAGTGCTGACAGTGGAAGCAGGTAGCTGAACTGTAAGGGAGGTGAATGCCAGTTGAACTATTAATATGGAGTATCTGAGATCTTTATTAAATGATTACATTTGTTCAAAGATCATAAATGTATGTTTTAATTTCTTTTCTAAGTGAGAGTGAACGCAGCACATGGCTGACCAATGACTCCTATCAAAGAGACCTTTGGAGCAGTGAGTCTGAAGAGCTTGCAGGACCTTCCCGGATTTCCAACCCACAGCTTGAAGGTAGGACTTTACCCTGTTTTTATAGCAGACTCTTAAGGACACTGAGCTTCAGAGGTATGCACAAAGAGTTTTCTAAAATAAATACAAGAAAAATCTAGGAACAATTAACAATTAAAATACGATATTCTGTTGAAAATGCTCTATACCCTACATGCTTGCAGATAGATTTCTAGGCTGTCTTTAATATTTTATTCTATCAAATATGCCAATTTAGTAAAATGACTTTTTATTTTCTTAAACTAGGGATTATAAATGTATGTAAACTTGAATATGACCTGCTTCCTTATTTCCTTAGTTTTTATTTGTGATACAGTGTATACTTTGTAAATAAAATAATTTGTTTTAGATTACATATAATTACATGTGGAACAAAAAGAAAAGTTATATATAGTAAAGTAAAACATAATACTGAAGAATATTCTATTTTTTTCTATATAGATGTATTTACATTTGTAAATACAACCACAGACATATATTTGTATATACAAACACAGGCACATATATACACACATATAATAAAAGCTTTCTTTGTGAATTTGAGGAATCACATATGTAACTTAAAAACCTTGGACTTTAAGAGGATCTTAGAGATCTCCTATCTCAACCTCTTATCAAGTGCCAGAACGTTTTCTCAAGTAATTTTTTAATTTGAAAAATATCAGATGTAATAAGGCAATACTGTACTATGCAATTATTGTAAATACATATGCACAAGAATATTTTAAGGAAATGCTCATTTATTCATTTATTTATTGAGGGACTAGTGTTTATAACACTGTATGTGGTTCAGAGTCATAGGGTCACTCCTGCACAGATATGTCTCACACCAAATTAACAAGACATCAGAGAAGACACTTTTTAAACATTTAAGTACAATTTGTATATAGCAGATTCACCCTTTTAGTTCTATGAGAGTAGGCAAAGGGGTCTACCACCACCATCAAGACATTGGTATTTCCTTCAACCCCTCAAATTTCTCCTGTGCTTTCTGTGGTCAACCCCTCACCCCACCATTAGCACCTGGCAACCAGTAATCTGTTTTTTTTCTTATTTTTTACTTTTGTCTTTTCCAAAGTGTCATGTAAATGGAATCATAAATATGTTGCCTTTTGAGTTCAGTTTCTTTCATGTAGCATCATACTTTTAATATTCATTCATATGCCATTGCATAAGTATTTACTTATTTATTGCTAAATAGTATTCTATTGTATATCTACACCAATTTGTTTTTCCATTTGCCAGTTGAAGGACATTTGGGTTGTTTCCAGATTTGGGGGAATCATGGATAAAAGTACTGCAAACATTCACAACTGGTTTTGTGCAAACTTAAGTTCCCATTTCTTTGAGGTAAATGTCTAGAATTGGGTTTCTGAGTCATAAATATGTAACAGATGAACTGTTTCCAAAAATGTCTGTATCAGTAGCGTTTTTACTTTTTTCTCCTTTTTCTTCTCTCTGAGTTTCAGCTAAGGTAGTTTTTTTTCAATCCATCTTCCAGCTCATTGACTCTCTCTGCTGTGTTAAGTCTACTAATAAACCCAGTGAAAACATTCTTTTACAAAGAGTGTTCTTTTAATAACACTTCTATTGGATTTTATAATTTCCACCTCTCTTCAAATTTCCCCTTATGTTAGGGGTCCAATATGATTAAAATGGCTTTACTCTCATGGAAGTTCATTTTATCCCCTTCTGTACATCCTATACCACCTCTCATACTAAATTTAGATATATTGCAAGATGTTAGGATTGCTATGATTGCCCCTTGCAGCCAGAAGTCTCTCTATTGTATACCCCTACCAAGAGCTTTTTGGGAATAGTAGGGTTCAGAGACAAGATGAATTTCCCAGGGCAGGTTCTTAGAAAGTTATACCACTTTTTTGTGCCTGTTCTTTAACTGCTTTTTGTATGTATTTTTTTCTGGCATTAATATAACTTTTGTTCATGTTTCGCTTGGGAAAGAAATTTCTGAGAACTCATTTCACATAAACATTTTATCTCAAAAGTTTTTTAAAATAATACTTTACTATTCACTTGTAGATTTATTGCATTTTGGCCAGTGAATATGATCTATAAAATTTCAAATATTTGTGACCTACACTGTTATTATTTACAAAAAAGATTCTATGTGTACTATTAAATACAATGTATTCTTTTCTGTTATTGTTAGTTATAAGTGCATAATGAAATACAATACATAATGTAATTGTGTTGTATTATGTTTTATATTACGTTATGTAGTATATCTCTTAGATGCTGTATTTATATACTTTTAAATATGCTGTATTTATATACTTTTAAATTTTGTAAATACCATATTGTATATGGTATTTTCTATACTTGGATTGTATGTGATCTATATGTACATGCATGTGTGTGTATGTACTTGATCTGTTTTAAAATAAGGTGTGTTAAACTCTCCACGTTTTCATTTCTGACTCTAAGGACTTCTGCTCAGGGAGGGCCGAAGTTCTTTCTATTTCTCATCCACGTCTTGTTTGTGCTTACCTTGGAATAACTGTCAATTCGTGAACCCAACATTATAAAACAGAACACTTACCAGCTCACTTCAGCTGTTGTATTTATAGCACTGAGCAGTTTTCTCCTAGAATAGTGGGTGTTTTTTATTCCAAAATTAGATAGTCATGATTTTCCAAAATAGGGATTCTTCCTTTCAAAGTAGTAGACCCTTCTTTGGTGAAATAAATTTTGTTAACTTTTAAACGACTTTAATTAAGAGAAAACAAAATAAAATTTCCTTTTACATATATAAAAATAACTTAAAAATGTGAATTTTTCTTTTTTTAGACATGCAAATAGTTACTGAAGCTGAACTAAATCAGTTGGCTCAGATTCGACCGTTCATATTCACGTCTCATGAGCAATCAGCTATCAAGGAATACTTAAAAACATTTGAGAGAAAAGTAGTAGAAAGCGAGATCAACCAGGAGTTCTTGGTATGTGTTTTCCTCTAATACTTGCAATAAAACTTCTATGTGATTTCTTTTTCCACATTACTATGAGGGTTTTTTTTTCTGTTACTCAGATTAAGTATGTTGCTAATGTTTTTAAAATTTATTTTTAAAGTAATGGGTGTATATCTAGTAAAAGTCAGGTAGCGTAAAAGATTATAAAATGGATAGTGTGTCACTTTTTCTTCTGACTTTGTAGGACCCTTTGGAGGGTCCCTCCCCCTAGTAAGCTTGTCATATATACTTACATATGAAATATAAAATTGTTGGACTTGTCACTATTCTGTCCTTTCTTCTAAAAGCAAATTCACATTCAAAATAATTTCTAAATATATTAACAGCTCTCATTCTTTTTACGTGTTGCATGTTACATGGTAGTTAATTGTATGATAAAGACCTTCTTTAAACAGTCCTTTCGATGGACATTTAGATTATTCTAGTTCTTGCTGTCATTATGAACAACAATTATCTCTCTTCTTCATATGCCTGATAATATAATAAATATTCTTTAGAACAAATTCCTACAAAGGTAGTATTTTGTGCTATTAAAGTTTTGGAACTTTGCTTATTGCTTAAATAACAATTTGTTGTTGATGATTTCCTTGGTATTTATTTGAGAACAAATGAATCACTTTCCATATGTTTTAAGTCTTTCGTGCATATTTTCAGTGAACTGCTAGTTCCAATTCTTTGCCCAACTTTCTATTACATTTTAAAATCAATAACTTTATATAAAGAAGACATTACCCATTTCCTTTTTGTTATATGTGGTAAATTTTTACACTTTGTTGATTGTGTTACACATGTGTGTGCACACCCATACATTTACTAAGAGGAAATAGCTAATCTTTAGTGGTTAATATATCAGGGTCATAGTAACTCATTGGGAGTTCAGGTCTTCTGTGTTGTTTGGGAATGCCCCTTGGCGTTCTCTGGGATCATCATAATAACATGTCATATTTTTAAATAAATGTAAAAGTATTTTACTTTTATTATTTTTCAAAATACCAAAGTCTTTGATTCACCTTATATTCAATTTAAGATAGGGTACTTGGTAAACCAAATGTTATATAGCTATCCAGTTGCCCACTAGCCTATTAAAATTTCTCTTTAGTCATTTAAACTGTCACTTATGTCATGCACTATATTTTAATTTATATGCAGATATTTTTCATTGATTTGCTTATTCATGCAGTATGCGAAACTTTTAATTAGCATAGCATTTATTGTCTTTTATCATTTGTTAAGACTCATCTTTATACATTTCTCTCCTTCTACAAAGTTACTCTGGTTCTTCCTATAGAATTTTTTCAGATTAATTTTAGAATTAGTTTGCATAAAGATTTAAATGGTGAAAATTTTACCATCTTCTCCTATTGCTTAAAACTTTCACTGGCTCCTCAGTCCCCACTGGGGAATGGCTTTGTACACCACCGCTATTTAATGACTGAAGTGCCAAGCTGCCTACTCAGGGGTTAATGAAAGCTTTTAAAATGTAGACTTTCAGACTTTATTCACAAATATTTTAATATGAGTAGAACTGAATATATCTCAGTTTCTTTTATAGATGAGACCAGGTCTTACTAACTAATTTTGAGTCCCTTGGACTAGATTGCATGCACTTGTTGCCACATGGCTCCTGATCCCAGCGAGGACACGCACACCACTCCTGTCTCACCAGGTGGTGTGCTGCACCTTCACTCCGCTCTCCTTGCACACACAGATGCTCAGAGGGTAACTTCTGATGACTCGGGAAGTTATCAAGTACTGCTTCCCTCTTGGAGCTTTCCTTCCCCCACCTCCAGGCACAAGCTGATGCTACCTCTGCTCTGTACCAGCATCTCTACAGTGGCCACATCTAGAGATGTGCACATTTCAGATGTATCTTTGTACTCCAGTATCTAGAACAGTGCTGAGTACATTGTTAAAGCTTAACAGTGCTGAGTGCATTGCTAAAGTTTAATAAATGCTTATTGAATTCATACTTGGTAAAGAAATTCTTAATAAATAATAATAAATTTATTATTATTAACAAAAAATAATAAAATTCTTAATAACACACATTTGAAATGTACATAATGCTTTGTTGCCATGTTACTTAAATAAGAACTTTAAAAGTATCTGCATAGATTTAGAAAAATGACATTATCTGACTAAAAAGAACCTACAATTATAATCGCCATTATGGGAAACATTCCAGTTAGGTTAAGATTGTTTATTTAAGACATATATTTTTAAATAGGAAGATTTCCTTCATTGGTATAGCTTAGCTATATTTTTTTCCCATGGGGCAAGACTTTTTTTTTTTAAACTTTGTATTTCCTTCTTTATATATACATACACTTTAGTTGCTATTATTTTATTGTTTTTGTTTATAAGATGATAGACTTATGAGTAGGTCCTACTCATTATTCTCTATTATCTTTTTGTGTGTGAAAAAGGACAAATATTGAGGAGCAAGGGAAAAATTTTACATTTTATCAAGCAATTTGTTGTTTGACATATCAAATTTGAAATAGAATATATAATATTTTTCTTAATAGGGTTCTGACTTCTCTATACAATATATTTAACATCAGCTCATAACCTATAGGGGTTTAAGGATCATGAACAGAAAACAAAGGCAGATTTTTTTCTTTTTATTTGTTATAGTAAATGCTTGACTTATATCTCTTACCTTTTAAAGTCTTTAGAAAGTACGAATCTGCCTGGTGAGTTCAACTCTGGGAATGAACCAAACAACAGAGATAAAAACAGATATCGGGATATTCTTCCATGTAAGCTAAAAATGGTTTTGATTATTTTCCTGTTGACATTTTGGGAAAAGATAAAAAATGGATTGTATGTCTTTCAGTATGAGGCCTTTGACCATGACCATGATGAAGTGTTCCGACAAATAGCTAGGTATGGGTGGGCTGGGCATATTCTTGGATATACTAGGACATGGATATACTAGTCTAGGTACTTCTTCCAGACAAGATCAGAGAATTATTTATAGCGATCCTTCAGCCTAATTCCTATGCAGCACTACTTCTCAGGTCATAAACCATCTAGAACATAAATTCTAATAGTCTGAGACTTCTGTCATATTTGGTATCTAAATCCCTGACTACTTGTCCCTTTGTTTAGACACACAAGTATAATGGGACTGTTTTTATCCTTTGTGTTGGTCAATAAAGCTGTTAAACGACTCTCCGCCAGGAGGCTGCTCTTGGATTGTCTCCACAGAAGGCCTTATACATTACTGGGTGAAGCTAGTGACACTGCACCCCATCCTCCCCCAACACCCACAGATTCTCATAGAATTTATCTCAGATTATCCAAAAAGCAGAAACAGAATACAGCACAGTTTTAATGTGAGACAGAAAATCTCAAGCCTCTCATTCTTTTCAAGATAAGTTTATTCCCAAATTGAATTTGGCATTTTTCTTTTCTCCAACTTGATCTTTGTCCTTATATCTTACTTGCAATAAGCACCTACTTGTCCAAGCCAGGAAACTGCAATATCCAAAAGTAGTCACTAGGTACTTTTGTTTTACTCTCTTAATGCCTCTAGAATCTTCCCTCACATTTTGATTCCCGATTCTGCCAACTTAGACTGAGCCTGTTCTCTCAGCCTGTCTCTGACTTTTTCACTGCCTCCAGTATTGTTTTCTCACTGCAGCTACAGACATGATTTTCTCAAAATGTAAATCAGAACATCCTTTTAGAGTTTTTCTTTGGCTTTCTGTTACCAGCATGTTAAAATTCTATAGCATGTCATAAATTACATCTCTTTATCCTCACTCCCCCGGAGCTGCTTTTGGTCTCTGCAATGTATCATCTCTTTCTCTTGTCTCCAAGCTTTTGAACCTGTGATCCCATCCATCCACCTCTCTTTGATGAGGTAATTCCTACTGTCTCTTAGAGCTATTTTGTTTAGACCTTCCTTGTTTTCCTTAAAGCATCTTGTGAATACCTTCTTCTGCTCACCAAAAATGTATATTTTAATTATCTGTTTACTCTCCTGTTTCTCCTATTAGACTTGATGTAGTTATCATAGATGCCAGAGTAGAACACAGTGATGGCTATCTAAGGCTAAACACCTTCTTACTTACTTGGCTCACTCCAATCTAAAATAACTTTGTTATTATAAGTGTAATAAATAACCTCCCAAGATAAAATTATTTATTTTGCTACCATGATGGAAAAGGTATGCAGAAGTGCATATTTCTGAAATCTGAATGATGGGCTGCTATTAGACATTTTAAGAGAGAATGCAAATGATTGGGTTCCACTCTGAGTGCTCAGATGTTCCCATTATTACTCCTGCCCCTACATGTACAAGTAGCTCTCAAGGAGACTGGATGCAATTGCTCTTCAAATGAATCTCTCAGGATTATAAGAGAATTTAGCATTTCATCTGGCTTGAACTTTTTATTCTTAGTACAAGAAGAATGTCAGCTAAAATGATGCAAAAATATGAAAAAGAGTTAAATGATTAAAACTAAAAATCATGTAAGCCTTTTGCTTTTCTCTTAAAAGAGAATAAACTGTAATTCAACCAAGTTATATTTTTAAGACCACTGAGTTATTTACTTCATACCTCAGTGTAATTAAAAACTAGCCAATTTAAGAGATAACTCATAGAAAGTTTCTTTGATATCTTTCCCACACTTTTTTTTTTTTAACTTATAGAGAAAGCTCCTGAAAAATCACATCAGGAAAATCAGAGGGATAATTTTCTTTTCTGTTAGAAGTGTGCTGAGCATACTCACTGGGGGGCTCACACAGCTCAGGACACTGTGAGGGCAGCAGCCCCTGCTCTGCTCAGCGCCCACACGCATGCTTTCAGTCAGTTTAGATAGACTCCAGTCCCTCAGCCACACAATTCCAGTTGCAGAAAAAGAAGTTCCCCTAAGTAATAAGGCATTCTGTCTCCAGGCTCTTTGGACTCAAGACTCATCACCAACTCTCTCCCTCCAGTCTTGCAATCTGTCCTATAAATTTCAAGATGGCTAGCCCCCACAGTCATGTGAACCAAACCTTTAAAATAAATCTCTCTCACTCTTTATATACTAAATGGATTATATTTCTCTTGGAAAACTGATTGATACAAATTTTGGTACCGAGAGTGGTTCTGTTCTACAGAAACAAAATCTTAAGGATGAGTATTATGAATTGTTTCATTAATCTGATAAAATTTAAAAGGAATGAATGACTCTTCTTTCCAGTGCCAAGAGAGACTGGTAGTCTGTGGTGTGATGTAGCAGTGGAGACATACAAAATATCACCGCAATACTTCACAAGAAGCAAAGTTCTGGATGACTGTTAATTTGATGCCCTAGAACTTTTCATCAAAGTAGGAATTATTATGAAATTAGCTAGATGATTCTAGTTACACTGGGCAAAGTGAGGATGAGAAAGGATGCTCTTAGGGTTTCACATGTGTAGCTCAAGAGCCACATAAATGTCCTAGAACTTTTGTCTGCTTGGAGGCAACCCTTACCTTCTGAAGATATGGGTCTGAAAATCAAACCCAAGGTCTCATTCTGCAAATGACTGAATTACAATGGAAATTGAATTCCCAGCTTTGCAGGATGTTGAAGTGAGGGCATTGGTTGAGAATGAATGGTGTTGCAAATCTGAGTGAAAAAATGGAAATTGAACATGAACGTGAAGATGGACACATAAAGCTAGAGAGGTACATTTGGAGGTCAAGTAACTGATGGGAGTTTTCGTTCAATTCCATTTCACAGTGGGCCCAATGAGTCTTGATCTCTGTAGTTATCTTCCTAGTTTTAGAATTTGTGTCATAGGAGCAGGCATACTCAGTAGCTGGCCAGTTCCTCACATGGGTTCTGTGACCTGTGGAGTAGTAAGGACTATTGTGGTGGAAAAGGCCAAGTGGAAGCTGACAGAACTGCTTTTACTAGGAAGTTAGTAAAATAAAGGCAATACTGCATCCCTGGGGATAATGTGGAGGCTAGTGCTAAGGTCTTAAAAAGATGCAGGGATGGTGACTCCCACCACATCCTCCCTCATTCAATGCATCTACTTAACCTGTGGAAAAAACAGATGGATCTCAGAGAATGATCTTTCTAAATCCTCTTGTTACATAATTATGTCACTAAACATTATCCTTTCAAACATTATAACATTTTCTCAGATTTCATTTAGAATATAAGGAGGAGTTCTTAAGATATTCTTCCTTTATATAGAAAGGAAAACATTTGCCATTTCTCAGAATGGTCTCCTTTTGTGATATCTTTCTATATCTAGTGACTGTTTCCCCTAAATATTCATAAGGAATATGTTTCTGTGTTAGAATTTGAGAAGGGTTTTGTCGGAAATTGTGTGAGTTATCCTGGGCAGACCATATTTTCTAGGTAAGTGATCCACATGACTGAGTAGGGGAGAGTAGTAGTATTGAGACTACTGCATGGTGGAGAGACCCCCCCTGTGCTGAAGGCATTTATTCTGTGTGTGGGGAGCAGTCACAGCAGCTCCAGATATCTTTGTAAAGTGGAAAAGATTCCCATGTGAAGACTAATCCTGGACCAGTGAATTTTATTAGTGAGCTGAGAAGTTCCACTTGTTCTCTCTTTTGTCCCTTTAACATTTGTTGTAATAATTTGTCCCATGTTATTTGGAGCAAACCCCTTTCTTTGCATCCTTTTGCTACTATACCTTTTCTGTAATAGCCACATCACCAGGTGAAGGCAGAGGGTGAAAAAAGATGGCTGCCTTATGTGGGGACATTGGTAAAATTCCATTAATCCTAATATTTGTATTTGACCAAGTATCAGAGACTGTTTTCCCTTTTTATCTTGGAACCCATTACTCCAGGTTCACTTTTGTGTACAGATCCTTCTAACTTGTAAAAGAATACCATCCACTTGTTCTCTCAGAGGGCTCCTCCTCTCCTGTGTTGAGTTGCAGACCAGAAGGAACCTCCTTAACCCAAACCTACCTGTGCTACATCTAACTGATATATTTCAGTGTTGAGATACTGATGGTATCCTCTGTTTAGCAGAACATTATTTAAAACAAAACAAAATGAAAATTCCCCTAATTGTTTATTTCTAGAGCATACCAATAGGTTTGGAAGGGAAAAATGCAAATTTATGAACTTAATCCTTTTGAAAAGAAACTTCCATGCCATCATCTCTATTGCTCAAAGAGAGAAATGGATTTACCTGTGTGAAAGGCTTTTGTAATGTCTGCCTCTCCTGCTTTTCCTTTTATCTACTGGATGTTTCTGTTTTTGTAACAGATGATTCAACACGGGTTCCTCTTGGGGAAAACAAGGACTACATCAATGCTAGTTATATTAGAATAGTCAATTCTGAAGAAGAGTATTTTTATATTGCTACTCAAGGACCACTGCCAGATACCATAGAAGACTTTTGGCAAATGGTTTTAGAAAATAACTCTAATATTATTGTCATGATAACCAGAGAGACAGAATGCGGAGTTACCAAATGCCACCATTACTGGCCCATTGCTATAGACAAGCCTTTGGAATTGAAAAACTGTCGTATCTCTTTGGAAAAATACCAGATACTTCAATATTTCATCATTCGAATATTTCAAGTTATGAGGAAGTCTGTAAGTATTTAAAAAATAAGTATTATATATGTGTACGTATTTATATAAACACACGTCAGGTATTGAAGTTAAAAGTAGGATGGGATATAGAATAGAGAGACACTTTTAAATAACTTGTTTTTACTTCTTAGTACCAGAGAGTAAGATACTACCACCTCCAAACTCTGACTGGAGAGATTAAAAACTTGAAAAGGGGAGTTGGGGCAGAGAGGATAGTTGCCTCATCCTGGGCTACTTGTGCTGAGAGTGAGATATGATTCCGTCCTTCAGGCATGCTAGTCACTGTGCCAGGTCCTATCTTTGCTGAGTGTGGAGAGTTTAGTGTACTCACTGATACCATTGGAACTGATACTGATCTCAGTGGTAATACTGAGATTTGTATGGGGTGCTTTTGGGGTTCAGAAAGGAAGTATATTAACTTTACTTGGGATTTGGGGGAATGTTTGCTGTACCAGGCAACAACTAATTGAAAATTACTCAAAGGAGAACTCTGAGAAGAAGCAGATTCTTAGATATAAAATAACATGGGATGTGTATAGAGAAATATAGCTAGTTCAGTGTCTTTGAAATGTAAAAGTTCAATGACAGGGAGTAACGCAATATAATGATGAGGCTATAGAAAAGAAACTGGGATCAATCAGAGCATGAAATGTCTTGGATTTCAGCTAAGGAGCACAAATGAACCTTACCATGAAGGTAATTGGAAGACAATGAAGGTAAGAAGGTGACATAATCAGTTGGCAGTGAGATATAAATCAGAGACCTTGGTGTTTTTCAGGTAACATTGGCAGATTTTAATATGACATGACTTATGACTTACAAGTGACAGAAGGAGTGGTCAAAAGTATGCTATCCAATATGGTAGGCACATGTGGCTATTTAAACTTAAATTTAAATTATTTAAACTTATGTAAAACAGCAAATTCAGTTCCTCACTTGCAGAGGTACATTTCAGATGTTACTAGTGGCCACCATGTTGGGAAGCACAGATATAGCACATTTGTAGTCATTATTGAGCGTCCTGTTGTGGACTGGTGGTCTAGTATAGTTCATAGATTTTTTTTTTTGCTCTAATAATTTTGGAAAATAGAGAAGGAATATTTTTTAGGAGAAAGTAGTGAGTCACATTGCCCTAAATGGATGGATTAGCAGGTGGGTTGTGCATGTGCTCAGTGGAATGAAGGGGGTGATGAAATTTGAAAAGAGTGATGAGATTTGGCATCATCACCAAAGATGTTGACTGGAGTGATGACATTGACCAGGAAAAGGGTTGCTGAGTTTGGAACCCATCAATTTGTAAGAGCAATAAAATATGAAACTATGTTAATATTTTCTTCTTAGCAGGCTGACTGTGGGATTAGGCATGTAGTTTAAATTTTTTAGGAAAATGAATGGATTCAGGGGTTAGTCAACTAGAAGTAAATCAAGAATAGAAGGGACAGAAGAGCTCCATTTGGTTACATTGTTGCTATACTTGAGTGAAACACAAATCAGGCTGTCCAAGACAGGTGTCCTTCTGGTCAGGAAGTGAGGTTGGAGTTTAAGAACTTGGAGGATTTTTGATACTGGATATTAAAAGTGATGGTATTGCCAGCAGTGGCTGTCACTATGGACACTAGAAAGGAGTGGTCGCCTCTGCAAGAAAGAAAAATGCTGTGATCTTAGAGTGTCTGTTGGGCTATTGAGACCTTGAATTTGCTCTGGATGATGTCAGAATGTGAAGGTCAGGATCTTCAGTGAATGTGACAGATCAATTGAAGGTTTAGCCCTTAAGTGATAAAATCGAGGATGTGAAATGAAGTGGTATGAAACTCAGAGGTAAGAGGGGTTTTTATACAACAGAAGGAATAATGAATTGGAAACAGGTGGACGGCAAGGAGAATTCAACTTAATCCTGGTACCAGGAACACAGAAAATAGGTGATGTCAATTAGAGAGGGTAAAGGAGTGAAGTGCCTTTGGAAGACAGGGAAGGATGAGCATATAGGGAAGTGAGGGTTTTATTGTGGGATGGATTCCTAAGTGAAAAATGAGAAATTGAAGACTTAGAAGTTGAAAAGTAGGAGGCCTGAAGCACAGAGTGGTGACTGGGGAGTGAGGTGTGTGTGTGGTGGTGGTGGTGGGGTTTACACCAATAATAATGATTGGAGAATTTGCTGTTTATGTGCTAGACACTATTCTTATTTTGTACACCTGGATTGGTCTGGTTCCTTACTTCTCTAGTATTCGCTGATTGCATCCTATTAACTGGGTATTGTGCCAGATGCTGGATATAGAAAGGATACAATCTCAACTTCTAGAGTACTATACTGTCTAGTCGGGGAAGACACCAAGCACATTAGTTCCTAGTGATGTTTGGTACATTCTAGGGTGGGGAAGGACAGCTTGCTTGGAAGAAGAAGGAACAGAAGAATGACCTGTCTTCCAGGATTCAAATTCTGGGATCTACTTGTGGTGTCCTGGCATGGAGTCTAGAATGGTGTTCTTCAGGCTGAGACCCACATGCCTCAAAATCATGGTTAAATCTTCACCAGGGCTTCTGTCTTCATGAGTCAGGAAGGTGGAAAGGCCTGCCTTTGCGCAGGGCCTCAGAGGGCAGTGGTGGTGGGAGAAATTCCATTCCTGATACTCGGCAGAGTGAGAGCATTCCTAAACTTGATACCATCACATGATTTTCATTCTCATGTACTAGGATTCAAACTTGAGTTTTCCCTTTGGGATTTAAAATAACTTACTTCTATTTGGAACTTAGGAAAAGGAGGTGCATTGGGGAGAAATAGGGTAGATGTTTGGCTTTCCCATAAGGGGCCCCAGTGGAGTTGTGAAGACTCCTCATTGGACAGTGGGGGATCTCTTGGAAGGGATGAAACAAATCCTTTTTCTTCTGAGGGTACTTTCATGACTTTACTTTCAGGGACTTCAGTATAAGAGTGGGAATTTAGATGGCCACTACCACTTTATTCTCGATGAGGTTGGTATCTCCGCAAATACCTCTTCTCCCCACCTCATCAGGCAACTTGACAGCACCTGTATGTTATTCTTAAATTTACTAGCATAATATTTAAGTTAAGACAGATTGCCTTCCGTCTTGTTCTCAATGTTGCTAACCACCTTTCATTCTGAGAGGTTTTAAGGGTCTTGGTTTTTCTGCAGTCTCATGGATGCAAGAGGCCTCCATTATTGTCCCATCTCTAAACATGTGAGAGCCTTCTGACCTGACACCCACCTCTCAGTCCCCCAGTTCTTACTTTCTCGGCTGTAAAATGAGGATGAAACAGTGCCTGCTTGACAGTGTTGGTGTGAGGATTAGTGACATAATGAATGTGAAGTCTTAGCACAATATCTGGCACATAATCAGTGTTTGATTCATGTTACCTAATAGTATTCTTATTTTTATTACCATATAGCTATTTTATTAGTAGTAGTAGCAGTAGTGATATATATATATATATATATATATATATATGAAATTGAAATCAGATCTCTACTATAAGAAATTGATTCTTCTCTCCCTCTCTCTCTTCCCTCTCCCTCCTTTCTCTCCAGACAGGAAAGAGTCATTCTGTAAAACAATTGCAGTTCACCAACTGGCCAGACCATGGCACTCCTGACTCAGTAGATGGCTTTATAAAGTATGTTCGTTACGTGAGGAAGAGCCACCTTACAGGACCCATGGTTGTTCACTGCAGTGCTGGTGTGGGCCGGACAGGGGTGTTCCTGTGTGTGGATGTTGTGTTCTGTGCCATTGAAAAGAACTTTCCAGTAAGTGTGAGCTAAGTAGGTACACAAATGCTATTAGCACAACACTACTCTTAACAGCCTCTAGTACCTGAGACAGTATGTGGCCTTCAAAAGCAATTTAGTAAATAGGAAACTTGGGAGCTTTGAGTACCTACTTCTGAAAGATTAGCTGCTTGGTACTTAACTGCTGCAGGTTCCTGGATGTGGCTGTGAGGATTAAAATACAAAGTGCATGTGAGTGGCTTTGGACAGTATTTGGAACATAGTAGGTACACAATAAATTTGAGTTTAACTGGTGGTATATTTCCTAGTGATATGCTACATTCTATAATTAGAATAGAGATATAGGTTTATAAACAGGAAATAAGTCCTGCTTCCTTATTGGCTTTCCATGAAGCTTTAAATTGTCAAGTATTCTTATTGGTGTTCCTCTCTACTCTTTTCAGAAATTTTGTCCACCAGAGCTACTCAAAATAAGGTCTTGGACCAGCATCAATCTGTGGATGTTTGTTATCTGCAGCAAGATAAATTTATAGAAATTGAGAGTAAGCATTTAGGAACTTTGAAAGCAGTTTGATATATTGCTGTGACATCCGAGCGCATGAGCAGCGAGTTGGTCTTGTTCAGTAGGGTGTAGACCAGTTTGCCGGCTGTGGAGCTCACAACGGGTGGGGGCATCTCCATGCTGCAAATTGCCTATCAGCTGTGTGAACACGAATGAGTCATGACCTGTGACATTTTAAGATTGGCTTATCAATTAAAACTCCAAGGATATGAAAATCTGAGAATATGAAATCATTTGTTTCTTTTTATTGTTATGTGTATGTACATAATTTTTTAAAAATCAAAACCTGCTTAAAATCCTTAAAACATTGAGAACAATAGTGATTCTTATCTTGCAGTGAGAGTAACTGACAAAACTGAGGCTGCTCTACAACTTTTTATTTTTAGCATGCAGTGGCAGTTGCTAATTACCAGTTACCATATTGTCATCGTAGAATGATGTGACTAATCAGAACTTAACACATTGATCTTACATAATTAACAAAAATCTTATTATATCACTGAGCACATTGTTTCCTGCATTTGAAATATTTTTTTTTTTTTTTTGCCGCAAGACCTTTCTGATAAATATTACAGTAGAAGCTGTCAGCATGCTCTTAGTGCTCACAGTTGGTCTTCTAGCTGATCTACACAGATTCTCCAGGCAAGTTCAGCGATATCTGAGCTGCTCTCTATCCTGTTCCAGGGCGATGTTGCTCAGCACAAGGCCAGAGTCACATTGCCATGACAGTTTCTAAACACTTACTACCAGTTTCTGGACTCATCTCATTGTGGACAAGCAACAGCTCTTTGTGGCTGTGCACAGCATGATGACCACACTTGGTAGTGCTGGTTTCCACGCGCAGGTGCAGGATCTGGTTTGGGGCCAACAGTCGCTCAGGGTCTCCACTTGAGTTGAGAGGACTCTTTAGATGAAAAACAGCTGTGTTACTATTGTGGCCAGAAAAAAACTCTTCTTTGCCTCAGACTTTTCCAGAATTACAATCTGTTTTAAGCTCTCCCCTTGGAGAGCAGGAAGGTACACACAAGGGCAAATTTGTTGTTATTTCTTTTGAAGAGCAATTCTTATTTTAAGTTATTGCTTCCTGCTTTTTCCTGCAAACCCATTTAAATGACTTTTCCTTATCCATTAGACTGTTAAAAATAGCGCATATTCTTATGACTGAAAATGAGACCTTTCTGGTTAAATCTTGACATCTCTTTTGGAAGGCAGTGTGGAGTACTCATTTGGCAATCTCCGGGGTTGAGTTTTTCCCCATTATTCACAATACAAAATTACTGTTATTCTGTTGTAGTTTAATATCTGGAATATTGTGGCCCAAATGAGAGAACAGCGTCGTGGCATGATTCAAACAAAGGTAAGCTGTCACCAAATAAATTCCAGTAAGAAGAGTAATGACTGTAATGATTGAGAGTGTATTGCGTATTACAATTTCAGCTCTTTTATCCACATGGTCTAATTGAATTCTTATTGAGTTGATGCTAGATTTGCTCTGGTAGTATTGATGAAGTACTTCATGTCAGCACAATGATATCTGTGCCATGAGATAGATCACTTAGCAAGTGGCAGAGCCAAAACTAAAACTCACCTGATGCCAGACACACCTGTCCATAATGCCATGTTATTTAAGTAATACATCTAAGGTTACTTTTCATAAATTTCTAAATAGCAATCTGAGGTAATTACTCATCACTAAAAATTTAGTCATTGGCAAGTCATAGGGAGACATTGCTATGTCACAGATTACTCATCAATGGGAAGAAAGGGAGGAGGGGTCCAGAGCAAAGAAAGGGAGGAGTCTGGAGAGTTTGAATAATGACAATGGGCAGGTACTCTTAAATCTTCGAAGAAAAGTTGACATTTTTATAGGTCATTGCTGATATAAAGGGTTTACTTGGTTTTTAAGATTTTATTTATGTGCAGAAGAGGTGGAGTGTAGATTGCCTAGAGACAGAGGGTAAGAAGACTCACCAGAGACAGAGTGGGGGGCAGAACAGTCCCCTCAGAACTGCTGAAGGGAGCAGTGGACAAGACAGGAGAGGTCTGCTGGGCCATGTGGCTCAGCTCCCTGGCCAGGATCAAACTCAGGAATTAGCACTGAGACTTAACCCCTAGCTACCAGGAAGGTCCCAAGTGTTTTATTTAAAGTAAGGTTACCTCGAGACTTGAGGCTACACCTAAAAAATGATGAAATTTGATTTATCTAGAAAAGAGATTAGGAGATTGAAATTGAGAGGAAATTTCCCCTTCAGTTAAATGGCTGTGAACCATGAACTAGTTCATGTACCTTTATCTTTCTGATATTAAAAAAATACAATTATAAAAGTTCTTGGTTAAATATTTGCTTAAAGAACTTTGTGATTTGAAATTACGTGTGTTCTCTGAATGTTGTTACTGGTGTTCAATTATTTAACATTCCATTGTTTTTCATCTATATGTATATAGGAGCAGTATTGTTTTTGTTTTAAAATTGTGCTTGAAGTTCTTAAGAAGCTTCAGACTGTCAATTAAGAAAGGCTTCCATTGCTTCATACTGGAAGTGACCACGTGGCTTGGAGCCTCCCCATAAAGAACATGCTCAAGCTGTGCTGACGGGCTTTGCTGATGTGTACAATGTACTTTCTTTGCGTATCAGTTGATTTTCTTCCTGACTTCTCCGTGAAGGTAGCATCATTTGGTTGGAGTCAGTAGTGTTTACCCGTTGATCTTAATAGATGGATTCAAAATATCCTCTCACATTTTCCAGTGTAACAAAAGTTACTTGAAAATACTTGTAACCTTTTTTGTTGAAGGGATTACAGGACTCATAAATAACATAAACTAAGTTCAGTAAGATGTTGTTTGGAAAAACGATTAAAGGAGTTGGGATTTCCAGGACCTGATAGTGTCCTTAGTCTGGGAAACGTGGGACCGGTAAACTGCAGAAGCTTATCATAATCTCTTACGGATGTGTACAAACAGATATTTGTTCATATTGTCAAGCTTTTAGGAGATATTTAAATAACTCAGTTCACTGAAGGGTCCAGTTGGGGTGCATTAACTGTCTGTGATAATTGGATTTCATTTTCCTGTGCTTTAGGGTCCCCTGGGGGACCCTAGAGGCCTCAGCAGACGGACTGCCCTTCTAGAGGAGCTGGACAAGGACCTGTTGGTCTGGGAAACATTTCATGGGTAGGCAGAGTTTCTCCTCTCCATCACATGAGTGCACTTGTGGACTGTCCAAAACTAAAATGGATGTTTATATAGAAAGTCCAAGAGGAAATTTTTGCCTGGCTTGAGTTCTTTCCTATCCCACCCTGACACTTAACATATTACTCAGTCTGCTTTGTTAAAAGTAAATATTGCATTTTACTTGACTCTTACTCTCTGCCCTTTAACCAATAAACTTTGATATAAGCATTATTACATACTTTTGAGTGTCTCTTATACCAGGTATATTTTTCAAACTAAGATCTAGGATAGTTATTTTCTTTCTTCAGAGTTCCATTAAATCATCTCTTTCCATTACTGCCTCACCTCTGCTGTAAAATTTAGAAGTTGGCTTTGGGAACCAGAACTAAATTCATAGTTTTGAAAATAAAAAGTTCCATATTCATTTTTTAAAAGGTTGTAACATCTAATATGTATATCTTATAACATTGTAATTGCAGTGGAATTTTGGTAATCAATTATATTTGATAATCTATAAAGGAATTGACCTTTGTTTAGTGTAAGTCAATGAAGATCAGAATTTTCTATGTATTGAGAAAATTTGTAATAATAATCTGTAAATCTTGAAATTTTTTCAGTGTACAAGCCTTATTTTATTCCCTCAGGTGAAGAAATACTTGACTTCGTTGAATTAAAATTGATAATTCTCATTTTAAAAATTATTATATGCCAAAGATGTATTTTATACTGAAGCAAATTGATGGTTCTACCTATTTACATTGTTCATATAAATAATAGTCTATGTTAAACATTAATTTAATTTTGATTATTGGCCTCTAATATTTGTACCCTTAGTTTTCTCTCTGTTATTGTATAATAACAGGTATAATGTATACTATTCCTGAGAATGATTCTGTTTTATTATTTAAATAGAAATATTTACTATGTATTGCCTGAGGCATTCTTATTATTTGGCCTTGAGGTGTTATTATAAAGGAAAGTTCAACAATTCTTTATGGTAAACATGTCTCTTCTGTAATGTGTGCCTCACTTTTATAATTAGGCTAATTTTTAATTTTTCAGGGATATTAAACACATAAATGTTGATTACACTTGTTTTTATTTAGTTTTTGGAAAATATATTAATTCTAAATTGAAAATCTTTGACTAATTGAAATAAATCAATCTTTGCCTAGGGTGTAAATAAGAAACTTCCATGGACTCTTCTGTGAATATATGTACACTTACTAAGAGGTACTTTAAAAGTGTTTCAATATAAGCATAAAAACATTAGCTTTCAACTTTAAATACATATTTTAAAAGCTGTATATGTTTAGTAAACTTAAATGTTAAACTAAAAGCTCCTCAGAAGTATACATTGTAGGTTTTATTCTCATGTAAGTCTTAAAAACTTATTTTTCTTAGGACTGTTCATCCCTGTATGTCTAAAATATTAGTGAATAATCAATTTTATATTTACTACTGAAAAGTCACTTTAGTGATTTCTTTTAGTTGAAAAATAAAGGAAAATAACTCCAGAAAAACAAAGAAGTTTCATATTTATTTTTCTTATTCTCTGGGAAGAATTAATTTTCTCCTATGTTATCTTAAGGTTTGAGTAATTGAACCAGGAGATTTGGAAAGTATCCATTAAGCACTAAATTGATCAGTGGCATTCAACAGTGATGGATTACTTAGTGGGATGTACTCGATTTGTCAACAGTGACACTCAAAAAGTAAATAATGTGTGCCTCATATTTTTATATTACAACACAGTAAATAATGACCTCATAATGAAAGAAACCCTATTGGAAAGAACCTTAGAAGGCATCTAATACAACTATTATATCTGAAACTTGAATGTGTTAATCAATTTTTTTAGAACTAAGAGCAACATCATTTCTGGAGGTGAAAAACTAGAGATAAATTGGCCTTTACCAAGAATTGATTATCCCTCCACTTGGCAGAATTAGCTTGCATGTCTGTAAATATGGATCATTTGCATTGCTATCATTCACTTACAATTTATAGGGCTTGAAATAGTTCAAACACTATGAAAAGGATAGTCTAACCCCATAAAATCAGAGCACCTAAAATTAGAAAATTTCTAGTTTTCCATGTAGAGTCCCAAGTTATACTTTTGGTCTGTTTCAAAAACTTTCACAATTTTTCCTGGCATTATAGAAAGGATAATACCTCATGATTGTGTAGGGTTTATTCTAGGAATGCCAAATTGGTTTAGCATTATAAAATTAATGTATTAAATGTATAATGTATAAAATTAAGTCATGCTAATAAAAACAATTCTGTGAGAAAATTCTGTGAACAAATCAATAAAAAATTCTGAAGAAATCATATCCATTCTTGGATATGGAAAACATTTTTTAGCAAATTAAGGGAATTACCTTAATGTGCTAGCAGATAGCACAGCAAATTTGCAGCAGGCATTCACTGATAGTAAAAAGAGAACACTTTTCCTCTCATATAATTCTAGTAGTCTTGACTGGATGACTTAACTTCTAAAAAATAAATGGGAACAGAACTAGGAAAACTGAGTCCACCATACAGTCAGCCTTAGAGAAAATAACCCCAAGCAAACAACTAAAAGGTGCTTTATACAGGAGATTATGCCTTCCCTGCTGGTGGTGATTCTTCTTTGCCAGGGCATGTGGACTTAGTTCATTACACTCCATAGAACACCTTTCAAAATTCTGTTCAGGATTACCACTTAAATGTTATCCAGAACCAGTCTTTTTATGCACCCAGTGTACAAAAAGATATCTCATAGGCCAATCTGTGAAACTGCACATTTAGCAATATTCTCTAGGAAAACACATCTGAACAACACAGCGCTGTAGTGTTCCAGTGCTTATTTTCAGGGAACTCTGCCTGCCTAAAGCAGAAAACAAGAAGCAGAATGTTAAAGCCATTTGCAACCAAAGGTCAAATTAAAGAGGCACAGCATTCCAGAGTTGGAACTTACTGGTCCTTCAGAACAAAATGGCACCCAGGTCCCACAGTGACCACCCACACTGCATGGCCCTGAGGATCAGGTCAAGGCCTGCCCAGGACTCTTGGCCTGGCATGTTGTGGAGCAGTTGACATGATGAGAGTTCCGAGGACTTCTTGACACAATGCCCCTGTTTACTCACACTGGTCACTGCCTCCAGAGCTAAGTGACACTCTACGTGCCATGAATGTTGGGGCCCAGCATTCACACCTTATTTTCTCAAGTCAAATCTGTGGGGGAGAGATGTCCAGGAGGTAGAGACTGCCAAGGTTTCTTCCAAGAGCCAAGGACCATGAATAAGGGAATTGAAGGGAGGCCGGGTAGTGAGCAGGGTGGCTCCTCTTTCCTCAAGACCTAGATCTGAGGCTGGGTAGATGGCTGATACCCTCTAAGTCAGTTCATAAAACGGTACAATAAGAAATAGTTTAGAAGGATAAAGGGATCAGTTGTACATTGATGGATGGAAACCAACTTCAGCTGGTTCATCATGTCGTGTGTACAGGTCTTGAGTGACATCATGTCATGTGTACAGGTCTTGAGTGACACGGCACACCTGAAACGTAGGTGGTGAACCAGTGCTACCTCAATAAGATTTGTTGTTTTTGAAAAGAACCTGAGACTACCCTATTAGAAATCATCATCAGCAGAGTCCTTAGGTCATTGATGTAATGACGACACCAGGTCTGGATCTGAACCTCTGTCTGAAGTCAGAGTGTGAGGAGTGCAGGCTGCATGCAGCGCTCTTGAAAGGTCAGGGTTAGGGCAGGGGGTGTCAAGAATGATGGGGTAATGCTGGGCGGGAATCAGTCTGGGAGAGCCTAGCTGGGGTGGTCTACGGGCATCTCCGAGTCTAGGAAGCTGGTTTTGCTGCAGTCTGGCTTCACTGTGACTGCTCCTGGTAAGTCACAGGTGCCTTTGTAACTCTCCCTCATTTACTCTCACAGAGATAGGTAATTTATAAACCCCTGGCCTGTGTGTCTCTGACACAAAGACAGCGCTGTGGTGAACGGAGAGCGTGTGCTCCAGAGCTCTGTTCTCACTGGCACATGACCAGCAGCCGCACAGAGAAAGGGATTATTCTTGAGTCAAAATTGGAGCTCGCCGGCACACAGCCCCCTTCTCAGGACTGCTGTTAGGGGTCTGCCAGTTTCCCCCGGGGTTGGCTCTGTGTTTTGGCCTCCCGCTGGCCTGCACACTGGGCCTCCCTGGAGGGTGTGGTTGTACCTGTGCTGCTGCTGTGAAGGGAGGAGGGTTGTGGCATTTCTGGAAGTAGAAGTGGCTGCTCCCTCACCCACAGGGAGGCCCAGGCGGTGTGATGGCTTCCCCACGTCAAAAGCATATGACGCACCCAGAACATGGCATCCTTGTATTCCAGGCTGTGGAGGGGGAAGATT